GCCCAGCCGGAAGCGCCGGGGCACGCGGGGAAATGTAGTTTCTTCAGGCAGCGCTGGCGCGCTCGACCCCTGGCGGTGGAAGGTGGGGTCGCCGCCCCCGGCCGAAGGGGGCGGGGCCTGCAGAAAGGGGCGCTATGACTGGCAGGAACGCTGGACCCCGCCCGCACAGCAAGAGCAGCCCCATGGGGGGGGCAGTGCAGGCCTGTACTTTGTCCTTGTAACTTCCGGCCACATCAGCAAGCCTGCCCCCCCCCAGGGAGGGGCCTGTGGGCAGGGAGCCAGGGTGCACCAGGCCCGAGGCACACCCGCCGGCTGGGACAGATCTGCTCCACTGGCCCGAGGCTGCTGGGTAGCCTGTGCCTGACTCAGTGCTGCCCCGGCCCTGCGCTTTCCTGCGGGCACCCTTGGAACAGGCAGGCAAAGCAAAGCGGGGGGAGGGGCAGCAGGATACCACAGGACACACACACACACGCATTCTCACCCTCCACTGCCCTGCGTCCTCTTGCCTGGCCCTAATCCCTTCACATGGGCTGAAAACACACCTGCCACCTAGGAGCCCTCTGAAAGCCAACCCCATGGGCCCAGGAAGGTCAAGTCCAGTCCCCTGCCTTCACATCAGGCCCAAGCACCATCTAGAGTTCTAGACCATCCCTGACAGACGTCTGTCTAATCTGCTCTTAAGATGGAGATTCCACAACCTCCCCAGGCAATTTATTCATGTTTAACCACCCTGACAGGCAGGAAGTTTTCCCTAATGTCCAACCTCAACCTCCCTTGCTGCAGTTTAAGCCCATTGCTGCTTGTCCTGTCCTCAGCGGCCAAGGAGAACAATTGGTCTCCCTCTTCCTTGTGACACCCTGTAGCACAGCTGCCCTGTGCAGCTCTTTCCCCTCCATGCACGCTGCCATGTTACCTCTGCAAATACACTGACTTTCTCTCCAGCAGTTGCCTCTTGCACGATCAGAGGTTTGAGCCCAAAGGCCAGGGGTAACAGTAGCGGCTCAGCATCCCTGATGATCGTTGACAGCTGAGCCCTTGTCAGGTTGGGGTAGGGACACACAGGCCATAGCTGCCTAGTATGCAAAGAGCAGCTGCTTGCAGCTGGGGTCGGGGCAAATGCAGCCCAGAATACACAAAAGAGCTTTATTTATGCAACAATCAGCCCTTTTCAGAGGTATGTACATCATTGAACCTGCTTCCGAAGTCAGAAAGTACCACTCGATACTACAGCCTCCTTCCACCCAGGACAGCCCCAGGAGACCTGCAGGGGCCAGTTACAGGGAGCCCAAGGAAGTGGTTACAGATGATAGGGCTTGTAATACTCCGTACTGTTCCCCATCAACAGACACAGCCAACGTCCCACACCCAGCACCGCGAGGGGCAAGACCCCACAGGCTTCCGACGAGGCTGGACTCACTCAGCACATGCCCACAGCACAGAGGGCAAGCTGCGCCAGTCCCCACCCTGTTAGGCTGTGGCTAGAGGGCCATCAGGCTGCAGAACATCCCCTGCGCACTCACTGCTCTCCTCCTCAGGCACACGGAGTTCTACTCCCTGCTCCGGCCCTGGCATTTCTGGGGCTGGTGCAGGTGCTGGGCTCTCCTGGGCTGGTTCCTTCTCCTCAGCTGGAGTGAACGGGGCCTCCCTCACAGGCAGGAGAAAAGCCAGTGGCTCCTTGATCACATTCACATCCACACAGCCCAGGCTGCCGTACTTGTGCAGCTGAGTGGGGGCAACACCTGGCCAAGAGAGCAGAGAGTTAACTCACCCAGAGCCCATCTGGAAAGGGACACAGAGACCATGACAAACTCACACAGCTCAGGCAGGGATCCTTGTAGACTGGGGGCATTAGTGGGAGGGCTCTGAGCACTCCAGCCACCAGATCTCCCAGGAGAACCAGAGCAGAGCAGCTAAAGGGGTTCAAGGACAGGGGTCATAGAATAATCATAGAATAATAGGACTGGAAGGGACCTCGAGAGGTCATCGAGTCCAGCCCCCCGCCCTCAAGGCAGGACCAAGCTCCGTCTCGGGGATCCACCTGCTCAGCAGATTTGCCCAGGCTCCACGTGAGAGTCAGCACTTTCATAATCCCTCTCTGGTGGGGGAAGGAGGGATTCTTACCTAGGGTTTGTGCTATCTGAGCTGGAGGATAGAGGACCTGGAGGCAGCGTCCAAACAGCTCCTGCTCCCGGCTGCTGAAAGCTGCCTCTTCTGCCCGGTGAAAAGCCAGGATTGTTTTGGTCACCTGCAGGAGAGAGAGAGAGAGAGAGAAAGCGCAAGCGTAACCACCGTGAGGTCCTCTTTCAGCAAGGTGCTCATTCAGCGAGCAAGACATGGGTTCAGAAGGGAGCGGAAAGCTGAAATTGACAGCCTGGTGACTGCTCTCTGTCTCACCTTGCCAAGGGCCTCCTCCAGGGAAGTCGTCACATCTTGAGCAAGAGCCACCGGGCAGCAGAGACGCAGATCATTGAAGGCTACCAGGATGTTGTTTAGGAAACAGGCAAGAGGTGGGAATTCCAACAGCACCATGGGAGGCTGCAGGGTTCCCGGCTGGGCGGTTGGCACTTGCACAGGGATGGTGCTGCCCAGGCCAGCAGGAGCGGAGATCAGTGTGTAGGAGTTCATTTCATCATGGAATTTGTCCACAGCTTCCTGAACTGCCTTCCGGAAAGTGCCAATTGTGACTTGCTGGAACACTGGGGCCAGCTGGCCCCGGAAATCAGCCCCCACTCTGCTGAAGGACAGGCCAAAGTACATGCACTGACCCAGCAGTGACTCCAAGCGGCTGCCCACCCCCCGCTGGAGGTCACTGTCCAGAATCTCTAGGAACTGTGACACCTTCTGCAGCACCCAGCCATGGAAGACGGCACTCTCATTGATCGCATGCTCGCCAGGAGGCAGCAACGGCTCCTCGTCCGAGAAGATGGCCCGGTACTGCGTGATGATGTCAAAGAGGTGGACGCGGCAGGCCTCAATGGTCTTGGTGATGTGGAAGTAGGGGTCGTCATCAGGGATGGAGGCCTGGATGGACTGGAGCCAAGCATCTCGGGCCTGCAGGAACCTGATGCGCAGTTCGGCCTCCGTGAAGACATCCATGCGTCGCAAGTAGCCAATGACACGCAGGCAGGCCGGCAGTTGGATGTTAGTGCGCAGCTGCTGGATCAGCTGATTCAGCATCAGCTGTGAAGACTGACGCACTTCGTCCACAATGCCCTAGAGCCAGGGAGAGACAGACCTCAGCAACGAGACAGTCCACCCTTGCATCGGGCACCATGCCCCACACCTGAACTCCAAGTGCCACCTCCCAAATCACATTCCCCTTAGAACAAGCCCCCACTCGCTGCATGGAGGTAACATAAGAACATAAAAATGGCAGTACTGGGTCAGATGAAAGCTCCATGCAGCCCTGTGTCCTGTCTGCTGACAGTGGCCAATGCCAGATGCCTCAGAAGGAGGGATCACAACAGGTAATCCTCACGTGATCCCTCTCCTGTCACTCACCTCCAGACAAACAGAAGCTAGGGACACCATTCCTACCAATCCCGGCTAATAGCCATTGATGGACTTAACCTCCATGAATCTAACTAACTCGTTTTTGAACCCTGTTAAAGTTTTAGCCTTCACCACATCCTCTGGCAAGGAGTTCCACAAGTTGACTGTGTGCTGAGTGAAGAAAAACTTTCTTTTGTTTGTTTTAAACCTGCTGCCTATTAATTTGATTTGATGACCCTAGTTCTTAATTTCTTTGGTGACACACACCAGCCACCATCTGAGGAGCTCATCCCATGCCCAGGGCCTGCAGGCCCCTCCGAAGTGTGGGCAGCCCGGCTCGGACGAACCTTGATGACCGGGATGGAGGCGTGTTTCCTCTCAAGTCGGCGCACGTAGGCAGCAAGCTCCAGCGCCTCCTCATAGTAGCCATTGCGGACGCAGGTGTCCATCAACTGCGGGATCTCCAGGATCTCCAAGATCTCTGTGTGGCGGTTCAGGGTGAGGCTATTCATGCGGCGGCTGGAGGCGATTTCCTCGGCATCCCGCATGAAGGTCCTGTGGGAAGGTAGGAGAACTCAGACCCGTGCAGAACCCTTGTGGCCTCCTTTCCCCTGGCCAGGTGTCCCCATTTCACCCCTAGTGCAGGGGTGGGAAACCTTAGACCCGGGGGCTGGATGCTGCCCCTGGCTTCCTTGCATCTGGCCCCCCAGACTCAGGGCTCCCCTCAGTGGCCCCGCCCCCCTGCAGCTCTCCTGGAAGGGGGCTGCTGTGCCCTTCCCTGGCCCCGCCCTCGCCCACCTGCAGCTCTCCTGGAAGAGGGCTGCTACCCCCAGTGGC